GCCTAGGCTTGCCAATACACACATTTTAATTCATATACAGGCATATGTGCACATGTATGTAAACATGGTTGGCCTTGAAGTTGAGGTCTAGAACATTTGACAGTGTCTTTGAGCACTCTTGTACTGTTTGGCACTGGTTCAACTCCCGACATACATAGCGGACAACTACTGTACCATGTAAGGCCAACAAGACCTGGGAATAAATGTATGGATATTGTTTTTGTCATGGCAGTTTTTGGGTAATGCATTGTAGCATGATCCACAAAATTCAGCGTTTGTGAAAGAAAGAAAAAGAGCAGTTGAAGAAGAAACTTTTGAAAAATGAAATTGTCTCCTGTAAAATCAAGTCCTCTTGCACTCAGTGTAGAAAACAATGTAGGTGATGGTTTCATCTACTTGGTTTAGGCAGGTGGTTAAATGGTGATTCAGAGGGGAATTTGATGATGTATTACCTTTATGCCTATAAAACTGACAATGAATTAACTTCATATTTATAAATTTGATAACCTTTGACCTCCATGCTTATGCTGATACAGCTTGCAAACATAATGATCATATTGAGACAAATAGCATTGTATTCACATTCATATTTATACAGTTGACAATGTATGACCTTTATGCTTAAATAGTTGACATTGTATGACCTTTATGCTTAAACAGCTGACATTGTATGACATTCATGCTTAAATGGTAGACAATGTAGGACCTTCATGCTTAAATAGTTGACATTGTATGACCTTCATGCTTAAATGGTAAACAATGTATGACATTCATGCTTAAATAGTTGACATTGTATGACACTCATGCTTATACAGTTGACATTGTATGACATTCATGCTTAAATGGTAGACAATATATGACCTTCATGCTTAAATAGTTGACATTGTATGACCTTCATGCTTAAATGGTAAACAATGTATGACATTCATGCTTAAATAGTTGACATTGTATGACCTTCATGCTTATACAGTTGACATTGTATGACATTCATGCTTAAATGGTAGACAATGTATGACCTTCATGCTTAAATGGTAGACAATGTATGACCTTCATGCTTGAATAGTTGACATTGTATGACCTTCATGCTTAAACAGCTGACATTGCATGACATTCATGCTTAAATGGTAGACAATGTATGACCTTCATGCTTAAATGGTAGACAATATATGACCTTCATGCTTGTAACAGTTGACAATGTATGACCTTCATACTGAAACAGTTGACAATAAATTACCTTTATGTCTATACAATTGACAATGAATGACCTTCATATTGTAATAGCCAAGGATTTTGATGGGAAAATTCTGCCTAACCAGCAACCAAGCTTTAACAGTGATGTGGTATAACCCTGGGACATGCTCACTGGTTCAGCAATGTCGAGTCTGGTCAGGGGCTGGATGGGTGCCTGTCCCACAAGTTGCATTTGATGGTTGCATTGAGATTCTTGGGTTACCATGAAAGGCCATTTCCCAGTGGTTAGGGAAGAAGGTGCATTGGTACACTGCAGGGAGGACCAAAGGGATTCCCAAGGCCAAATTTTGTGACAAGACTGTTCAGAGGGGAGGATCATGATGGGAAAATTCTCCTTTACTAGCATGCTACCATAGCTTTTCAGATGATGAGATATAACTCTGGAACACGCTCACATAAGTTCAGCATTGTTGAGCATCATGTCAGTGGCTGGATGGGTGTGCATCCCTCAATTACATTTGGTGGCAGTGGTGGGATACTGGGGTACCATGTAAGGCCAGTTCTCAGTGGTAAAGGGAAGGTGCATTAGAACCCTGTCGGGAGGACCCAAGGGATTTCCCAGGCCAACTCTCATGGCGAGACTTCTTGGGAGGAAGAAAAGTGTAACAACCAAGGATCAAGAGGGGAAAATCCTGCCTTAATAGCAATCTAACTTTTCCACTGATGTGGTACGAACCTGGGACTTTGTTCACTAGATCAACAACATCAAATCAGTGGCTGGATGGGTGACAGCTGCACACCGTACAAAATTAATACAATTGACAATGACGACCTTTATGTTTATACACCTGACAAATTATGATCGACCTAGTACATGCTTATGCAACAGTAGTAATGTATGACCTTCATGCTTATAAAATTGGCAAAGTATGATATTCATGTTTATGATACAATTAGTACAGGATCGACCTTCAATTTCCTGATACAATTGACAAAGCGTGGCCTTCCTGTTGATACAAATGATAATGTATGGCATCCAGCTGTTCAGATTTATAGATAACACATCAGTTCAAATTAACGTTAAGGAAATTTGTTCCAAAAGATTACTATCCATGTTCAGACAGCAGGAAAACTGGACAATCAGAAATCTGTATACACTGTATATGGCTGACTATAATGATTTTCCAGTGCTGGTCAGTGACTTGGCAGATCAATCCGATCAATATAATAATGGTTAATTGATCGAGATGTGCGATTCTGGTAAACAGTGATTTTTCGAGGTTACAAATTTTGTTGGGAGAAGAAGATGCTTTAGGGGGTCAAATAAGTGTCAAGGGTTAGATCGGTCAGTCATAATTAATAGATGAAGAAGTAAGATGGGGTAAACTTTGATGACCATTCTATGTCTGGTCTGAGATTGGCTGTACAGATACATACGAAGAGTCCTGGAGATAAGGCAAGGAAATTAATTAAAACAGAAAGCGAGCAGAAACCAATCAATAGAAACTGACCAGTGGGGAACGAACGTTAACTGAGGGTCAAAACCTAAACAAAGGTTAATGAAGTATTGGCTGAGTGTTTACATTCATCGGTGAGGAATGATTTAGCTGAACTCTCTGATATTAGTAGAATGACTTTATAATCTATCTTAAACCTTATAAGTGTCAGTTTTGGAACTGTTCATCAGTATAGAGAACCCTATTAAACACAGAAGTGGAAAAAACCATTAAGGGATGTCAAAATGTAGGTACAGTAATTTGAAATTTCTTTTATATAAAATATTGTTACCTTAAACTGACAGTGCAAGTTAAAAAGGATTTAATTGAGATTAAAAACAAGTTTTTAAATATTTTGTTTCTGGTTTTGAGATCTTCCCCGGTGACCATCTCTTCTGCCTATATCGTTTCTTAAAGGAAGCACTGATATTTTAGTTTGTCCTTGCTAAGTAATGACCAGATTTTTTTTTTTTTTTTTTTTTTATAAGTCTCAATTGAAAGCTTTTTAACTTGCAATGTCAGCTTTTTAAGCCATACAAAGAAATTTTATCTTTACTTGTTTTCTAACTGTATATAAGATTGGATATGACTTTTTACTTGACTTTTTTTAAAAAGTACATTGTTGAATGAGTTAGGGTTCATTGTGTTGAGATTTTGAATTGGTAAATCTAGGTCTCATCTGATCATGTGTCCTTGGTATGGAACTATTCAAGTTCTGTAACTGTTTGATAATCCTCATTGAACTGGTTCATTTCTTGTAAATACTTGTATTTGGTTCTGACGTCTGTCTTTGGTGATGATGTAAGGTATAAAATACTTACATAACAATGGTGAAATCTAAAAATGTCTTAAACAAACTCTTACAATGACTACCTTTTTGACAAAATAAATCCATGATAATGCACTAGTTAATACTGTAGAAAAAAGGGAAGATTTAGAGAATCCAAAATTTCAAAAATAAAACATGAGGGTGAAAAATCATGAATTTTACTCAAAATAGAAAGACAATTGGATTATGTAAATCTGTTGTTTGTTGTTTTTGTAAGTGTTGGGTATTTCAAGGGTGCACAATGGATGAGACAATCTTATTCACATTATTCCAGTTCCTATCTTAGTGACATCACATAAAGGGCACCATTGTGATTGTTATGTTAATTTTTCTATTTCAAAGAAAAGAAACCTATATTTCGCATATTGCTGAAAAGATTTCATTTAAGAGAGCAAACAGTAAAACAAACATAAAATGTTTCTGGAGTGACAACTTGCTTTACTGCAAATCCAAGCAAAGTATTTGTACTGTTTCCTGGTAGGAAGTATTGTTTTTTGAGATTATTGATTAGTTTGGAGATTATTCCCTTCATAAAAATAAACAACAAAGCTATTTACATGTGTGAAGGGGAATTCACTGGATGTCAGACCCATAACTAACAATAAACATGGCATGCCTCATCAAAATTTCATGATCTTTACAATTTTGAAAGACATTAATAATGAATAAACCATGTTTTAAACCCTTCTGAAACTGCCGTAATAATTGTTACATTCTATTGTCCCGTGTATAGGGACTAGCTGTTGGTTACTGCGTTTTTGTGTTTAGTATCTGTTGAGTAACCTGACACTCTGTGGGCATCTTGAGAGGGAGAAATGATGTGGCCCAGTAATTTCTTTTCCCATATCTTCTTTATTTATTTTCCTGTAAAATAAACATTTATATGGAAAATACCACACTAAAAATCTAAACAATTATCAATTCAAATCTGCAATAAAACAAACCTCTTAGTGCAGTGACTTGTGTTACTGTTTAAAGCCCTTTAACATTTCTTGATGTTTTGCCATTAACATCAAATCAATATCTATATTTCAACAGGGACTTGTGATGTTTATGATACTCTCTAATAAAAAATATCTCCTGTAAATTATGGTTAAAATATAAATTCATTAAAAATCAGGAACGCCACAATTGTATGTCTTTATGGACCAGACGGATACAGCTTTTAAAGCTTATATACACTTCTAAAAATCAAGGTAAAGATTATTAAGTACTTAGTAGCAATATTAATTTGTTAAAAGTTTCAGAACCCTGTGTTAATTTCCTGTCTCATATATATATGTACATGTCAATGTAGAAAGGGATGTCACCGTACGCCTGAGTTTTGACACAACATGGCAGAGCTTGGCCATGTTAACTGTATGTAAAGGTACAAGGCAGATTTGATTATTATACTTAAGGCTAAAGGATGGAAATTGGATTATAGATATGAAAATACACATATTTGTTATCTTTCTAAATTATATTGTGTTGTATACTTCCAGAAGAATGAAGAAACTTCTCAGCTGAAGATTTGAATACATCAGAAGAAATACAATAATAGTAAGTTATGCATTTTATGAATCATCTCAAAGATATAAATATACATATGATAACAATGAATTCACAGACACTTTGTTGAATATTTCGACACAATTGGTGGTATAATCAGCACATGGTTTATCGTAGACTGTGCATATATACCTATCGTATGAATTTTAATATGTGTTTCAAAAAAATAAGTGTTGATCTACAGAATGTTCTATAATTATTTCTCCATGTCTTTTACATTTCATATTTGGTGTATATCTCGTATATTAAAAAAGTCTAAAAATAACTTTACTATGGATTCCGAGCCATGTCGGAATAAAAGGCAACGAATTTGCTGACAGGGAAGCAAAAAATGCATTGAATCTCGAACCAACAAATATCAAACTACCATACACAGATTTTAAACCTACTATTCGTACAGCCATTCAAAATGAATGGCAGAAACGCTGGTCTCTGGAGACCAACAACAAACTTTTTAAGATACAACCGAAACTTAAAACATCTATTCCCAGTCGGAAAGATCGTAGAGAGGAAGTTGTCCTCGCTCGGCTCCGCACTGGGCACACATATCCTACTCATTCGTACCTTTTAAAACGAGAAGATATACCTTCATGCCACGCATGTGACACTCCATTTACAGTGGAGCATTTTTTAATAGAATGTTCCGATTTTAAACACATTCGTGATAACTACTTCCGAGTCCCGGATATGAAAACACTTTTCAGTTCCGTGGATTCGAAGGCATTATTTAACTATTTGAAAGACATCGGTCTATTTTATAGACTCTGATGTCTTTTAACCCACCTTATCATTTTTGACGTTATATATATATCGCATATTCCATATCATCTATTCGTTATATCTTTTTTTAATTTTAACCCCCTTTTATTTTTATTATCTACACATACAATGCGAATACTTTTAAAATGAACCATTTTATCTGATTTTATCTTCGCTATTCACATGTTTGTTAAAAAAATAAGATAAATAAATAAATCACCATGGAGTTGATTAATTCCTTAATTTATTGAATATCAGAAAAAATTAAAGATGGAGAAAAGCGGTGATACAGAGAGTGGAAGGGTGGAAAGTCCAAAAGCCAGCCAGTACAGAATAGTCCCCGAACGTCGCATTGCGATACGACCTTTATCAGCCAGAGCAAAGAAATCCCCAAAAGATGGAGGCTCAGATGTTCCACAGCTCGACCTTGAGCGACCACGGCGACCTTGGACAGCGCACCCAAAGACACGGTCAGATATGTCAGCCAATAGGGTTGCGAGACCGGCTCATCTCAGAAAGTCCCACATGCGGCCCCCAGTAAGAACCACTCTGCCGGAAACCACGGAGGAAGGAAAACTCAGTGTGATGGGACTGGACACACAGGCTATGCTAGGCTTCACGCCACAGACCTATCAACTCCCCACAGCCTCCACTGACCTGGGTCAAGGGGTCAGGACCCTTGTCTCAGGTACATACAGATGTTATTGTATCTCAAAAAAAAACAACGTTTTTATGGTACCATTTAAATATTTTTTTGTGATTTGGTTCCTTTTTAACTTTTGTGACGTATTTTAACCATAGACAAGCAAAATAGAAATAATCATATGGAAACTGACTCTATAAGTTGTTTTGTAAATTGTCAACAAACGTAAAACTCATTATTACCATACAGATGACCAGAAACCAAAAACACCAAAGGAGGGTTGGGCCGTTACTAAGGTAGCAGATAGCAACAGGGACTCCACCCCAGAACGGTCTAAGAAACGACACCCTTCATTTGAGACCTGGGTGTCTGGATCTCCTCATGACTCAGACGAGTATGACACAGACCTGGAAACAGATTTACTCAAAAGTAAGAATTTTATTAATGCTAAAACATTTGATTGTTCTGGAGGTACTGGGAAACAGGAATGACTCAGTGATGTCATAATTATTTGTTTGATATGGTATGTTGCTGAATTCATGTAGTTTGTGTAAGTGGGAGAGGTTTGATTTTTTAAGCTGCTGTTATAAAATGTCATATTACACTCTGTGAAAAAAAGCTAATGACTGCTAATAATTTAATAATATAAATTTTCGTTATATTGGCCTTATTTGTTGTTTGCTTGACCTGTTCTGTTATACAGTCATGTGACCTTGAGCTCTTTTCTGACAGAATTTGTTGTTCATTTGACCTCTGTTCTTGTATCTCCATATATATGACCTTGAGTTCTATGATCTGACCTAATTTGTTGTTCATTTGACCTCTGCTCAGACCTGGAAATTGTAGAGGGCCAGGACAAGAAGAAAAAAATGAGAATAAAGAGGCGGCGTTCTCCAGGAAAGTACCTCCTTGTGTGGGGTTGTTATTACAATATAGCTTTCCAAGTTGTGATGATTTGTATTGTTGTGATTGATCTAACATGTATAGTTTAGTTACTCAAGTTTATCCAGCAAGGTATATGTAGAACACCTATATTACAATCTTACTTCAAAATGACTTTTAATGATGTTTTGATTCTGTAATCATTTTCTATTTCATTGAATTATTTATAAATTACATTCTGTGGTTTAAATGGAGTTATTCTCTCAAACATCATTCACAAACAAATTGTATTTAGTATAATATTGATCTGATTTCAATATATAGAAACCTGGATAAATTTGAAATTAAAAAAAATAAAATAGAGAAACAAAATATATACTTGAGGAGCTGAGTCAAAAGAGAATAAATGAGATGAAAAAGGAATAGCAGGTTGATCATTAAAAACTAAAGAGTATTGCAGTTTATAATTAATTAATTTGACAGCTGTTGAGATCATCTTCAATGAGTGCATTGTGTATTTGTGTGGTCTGTTTTACGTTAGACTGCATGTTGTGAAGTTTCCTGACAGACTACTGTTGTTTTTCGTGTTTTGTTTTTTTCGTTTTCTTACATGTGTCTTTGGTGTGTTTACAACATCATCATATCCGTGATTCATTAGATATCTTAAAAACTTGTTTGCTGTGCTTTTCAACAATTTTATATAGCTTTAGTGAACTATTATTTTATCATATTAGCATGATTTTAAACTTTTAGTTGAGCCTATAAATACAAAAGCATTATCTGTTGTGTAAATTATATTGGACCTTCTGAATTTAAAATGACTTATTTAGACATGTATGGTATTATGAGATTTGAAAGACACTCTGACAATTAACAAATATGTATTATTTTCAGTTTCATAAATTATGAATTGGTCTTGTAGAAAGACTAAAGAATACTATTAAACTGCAAGAAAGAGAAATGACTTTTTATACATTCAATGTCACAGAATTACCAGAACAAAATTTGGTTTTTACTTCAGGCTAAACTCTCAGAAAGACTTAATTTTACATGTGCAATATTGGAACTTTCAGGCAAATTGAAGACCTCTTTGAACTTTATGTTGCATAAGATATCATTACATTAGCTTTATGTGAATTGATCTCACTTTCTCCCCTCCTTTTTAAGTCTTTACCCACAAAGGTAACACTATTTACAACCCAGGTTGGGGTATCTATCCTCTTGCCAAGCTTACACCAAAATGCAAGTACTTGAAACAAGGGTTGGTCATGATCACAGGCACTACTGTAAAAGGATAGGAAAAATGCATGGCCAGACTGAAATTGGAAAGGTCAGACCTCAGAACTCTAGATGAATGGCCCAACCAATCGTGTTAACTGGTCACCAGTGAATTGACCGAGTCTGGTTCAACTTCATATGTATATAAATGTTTATATGTATAACTATATGATCTGATTACATTGAAGGAAAAAGCCTTATAAACTCACAAAATTCCACTTACTCAGTATCTGTAAGTTGCATCTTGTTTTGAAAACCAATATATGACGTATTTCAAAAGAAATGTACCCTATATATACATTACACAATATACCTACAAACGTGACCTAACTGTCTATACATATGTTTACTGTTTTGGAGATGCCTCCCCAGATTATCAAGAACGCGTGAGATAAGCAGGCAATACAGTTGAAAATTGGGACAATTAACAGCCGCAGGGAGTTGTTTGTTTGGCGTTTCAATAACCCATTCCTCATCATCAGCATTTCTAGTCATTATTGAAACGTGATTCAGGCTCAACGTCGTATCCCGTAGCTCTGTCTTCAGCCTTTCAATATCATTACATGTAACAGAATTTACTGCCAATATATTTCACTGCTCAATTACGAGGTTCAATCTAGCTGATTGGCTTTTTATATTTCCCCACTTAAAAGTGAATGAGAAATTCACATCTGTCTTTCACTATTAATAATTCAGTTTAACATTCCTAGCATTTTTGAGATTTAAATTAAGTCATCGATTGGTTTCAAATCTAATCTCCCTCTCAGTAATTTGTAATGTTGAAGCTTCACACTGGTAAGCAATTCTGAATTTGTGTCAAACTGCCAAAATTTTAAAATCAATTTAATTGGTATATTACGGTGTAGCTATAATACACATTTGATGGCATTCAAGTATATAGGGATAGAATAGCATTCAGGCTTACAGACTGATTATAATGGTCTCCAGATTTTATTGGAGGTAAAGGGGTGCAGTGAGATCTATAGCATTCAGATCATTTTGATAAAAACGTAACTGACTCGGCTGAGAGGCAGGGGTTCTTATGAAGGGTGGGTGGTATAGGGGAATCGTACGTTGGGAAATGGGGGTGAATGAGAGGGAGGGATGGCAGGAATTAAAGGCAGCAGCTCCTTGTAACCCGGTCACTATTCCTAAGGGATCAAGGTCAAACCTGTCTTTATAGACCGCTCAACAGAGTCTGAGCTAAAGTGGCCTAATAAAGACAGTGTTTTATATATTGTTATCAAAATCAACATATGGGAAATTCTTAGATGGTAGTTTTATGCAGGTGATCTTTATAGAGAGATGGTTGTCTTAAACAGGTGGTATCTAAGGCAGGTTTGTAGATTGCAAATGCAGATGTTGTAACATTATGAACAATACAGACTCATCATGACAGACTACCACTTAACAAAACCGAGACTCTACTGAACAAGTGAGACTGTTGAATACTAGACACAAGAACAAGTCAAACCACATTGAACAATACACACCCCATAGAACAATACACACCCCATAGAACAATACACACCCCACAGAACAATACACACCCCACAGAACAATACAACCCCCATAGAACAATTCACCCCATAGAACAATACAAACCCCATAGAACAATTCACCCCATAGAACAATACACACCCCACAGAACAATACACCCCCCATAGAACAATACACACCCCATAGAACAATTCACACCCCACAGAACAATACAAACCCCATAGAACAATTCACACCCCACAGAACAATACACCCCCCATAGAACAATACACACCCCACAGAACAATACAAACCCCATAGAACAATTCACCCCATAGAACAATTCACCACATTAAACAATACAACTCGATAAACATGTCAGGATCAAGTTAGACTTTACTGAACAAGTGAGACAATCGAAATAGACAGTTTCAATGACTCGTTCCTCATTATCAGCGTTTCTAGTCATTATTGAAAAAAAATGATAAATACTTCCCACTGAACAAGAGTGGCTGCACTGAACAAGTCAATCGACTGAACAAGTCAATCGACTGAACAAACTCTGTTTGCTTCTTACAGTTGTCTCATGTTAATCGAAGTGAGAGAGAATCTTCAAAATGATGCGGATCAATTAATAATAATGCTTCACAGCTCTATGAATGCCATTTCTTTCGGTAGAGGAACTTGTAGTGGAACTGTAAATATAACTGTTTATATGATAAGAGCTGGCACTAAGGGAAGTCTGACAAAGTGTTGTGGTCAGTTGCCATCCTCCTCCTATATTAGCTGTTAACATGACGAGTCAGGTAGAGGTAGACAGGGGTTGTTAACATGACAAGTCAGGTAGAGGTAGACAGGGGTTGTTAACATGACGAGTCAGGTAGAGGTAGACAGGGGTTGTTAACATGACGAGTCAGGTAGAGGTAGACAGGGGTTGTTAACATGACGAGTCAGGTAGAGGTAGACAGGGGTTGTTAACATGACGAGTCAGGTAGAGGTAGACAGGGGTTGTTAACATGACGAGTCAGGTAGAGGTAGACAGGGGTTGTTAACATGACGAGTCAGGTAGAGGTAGACAGGGGTTGTTAACATGACGAGTCAGGTAGAGGTAGACAGGGGTTGTTAACATGACGAGTCAGGTAGAGGTAGACAGGGGTTGTTAACATGACGAGTCAGGTAGAGGTAGACAGGGGTTGTTAACATGACGAGTCAGGTAGAGGTAGACAGGGGTTGTTAACATGACGAGTCAGGTAGAGGTAGACAGGGGTTGTTAACATGACGAGTCAGGTAGAGGTAGACAGGGGTTGTTAACATGACGAGTCAGGTAGAGGTAGACAGGGGTTGTTAACATGACGAGTCAGGTAGAGGTAGACAGGGGTTGTTAACATGACGAGTCAGGTAGAGGTAGACAGGGGTTGTTAACATGACGAGTCAGGTAGAGGTAGACAGGGGTTGTTAACATGACGAGTCAGGTAGAGGTAGACAGGGGTTGTTAACATGACGAGTCAGGTAGAGGTAGACAGGGGTTGTTAACATGACGAGTCAGGTAGAGGTAGACAGGGGTTGTTAACATGACGAGTCAGGTAGAGGTAGACAGGGGTTGTTAACATGACGAGTCAGGTAGAGGTAGACAGGGGTTGTTAACATGACGAGTCAGGTAGAGGTAGACAGGGGTTGTTAACATGACGAGTCAGGTAGAGGTAGACAGGGGTTGTTAACATGACGAGTCAGGTAGAGGTAGACAGGGGTTGTTAACATGACGAGTCAGGTAGAGGTAGACAGGGGTTGTTAACATGACGAGTCAGGTAGAGGTAGACAGGGGTTGTTAACATGACGAGTCAGGTAGAGGTAGACAGGGGTTGTTAACATGACGAGTCAGGTAGAGGTAGACAGGGGTTGTTAACATGACGAGTCAGGTAGAGGTAGACAGGGGTTGTTAACATGACGAGTCAGGTAGAGGTAGACAGGGGTTGTTAACATGACGAGTCAGGTAGAGGTAGACAGGGGTTGTTAACATGACGAGTCAGGTAGAGGTAGACAGGGGTTGTTAACATGACGAGTCAGGTAGAGGTAGACAGGGGTTGTTAACATGACGAGTCAGGTAGAGGTAGACAGGGGTTGTTAACATGACGAGTCAGGTAGAGGTAGACAGGGGTTGTTAACATGACGAGTCAGGTAGAGGTAGACAGGGGTTGTTAACATGACGAGTCAGGTAGAGGTAGACAGGGGTTGTTAACATGACGAGTCAGGTAGAGGTAGACAGGGGTTGTTAACATGACGAGTCAGGTAGAGGTAGACAGGGGTTGTTAACATGACGAGTCAGGTAGAGGTAGACAGGGGTTGTTAACATGACGAGTCAGGTAGAGGTAGACAGGGGTTGTTAACATGACGAGTCAGGTAGAGGTAGACAGGGGTTGTTAACATGACGAGTCAGGTAGAGGTAGACAGGGGTTGTTAACATGACGAGTCAGGTAGAGGTAGACAGGGGTTGTTAACATGACGAGTCAGGTAGAGGTAGACAGGGGTTGTTAACATGACGAGTCAGGTAGAGGTAGACAGGGGTTGTTAACATGACGAGTCAGGTAGAGGTAGACAGGGGTTGTTAACATGACGAGTCAGGTAGAGGTAGACAGGGGTTGTTAACATGACGAGTCAGGTAGAGGTAGACAGGGGTTGTTAACATGACGAGTCAGGTAGAGGTAGACAGGGGTTTTTAACATGACAAGTCAGGTAGAGGTAGACAGGGGTTGTTAACATGACGAGTCAGGTAGAGGTAGACAGGGGTTGTCAACATGACGAGTCAGGTAGAGGTAGACAGGGGTAAATGTTAACATTTCTTTTCTATTGGATGTCAACTATCATCATTTTACGAAGGGCAATTTTTCTTCTGCCGTATTTTGTTGCTGCAATTTCTCTGATTCGTCTGAACAAATTTTTACCATAGCAACAGTGCATTGTTGTATGAGCACATCCTATATCAAACATCATCTAAGCTGTATTTTGATAATTGTGTTAATATATTATTGAACTTGTTTGGTTTTGACTTATGTTTGTATCTACGTAGCATGACTCTGTTATGAGTCATCATGTTGATATTGACAGATATAATTTAATGTACATAATGTGTTTGTTACAAATGCTTTATGATTTGGAACTTTGGTACCCTTTTTTTCTTCAGTTATGTATTGTAAAACAGCAGGCTGTTCTACTTCGCCAGAATTGTATGTAGAGGGTCTTACATGAGTGGCCATGTCATATTAAATTTATTAAACCAGTTCAATAATTTGATATGAAACAAGCCTTGAGGCGAGTGTTATATTAAATTATTGAAACTTGACTATGCCCTGTACATGAATGTAAGATTCTATTTATCACATAACATTTATAATTTGAAAAAAAAGCTTCAAACATAATTTTGTGTTCTCAGCTGAGTCTATGTAGGTAAAAACCAAAGTACTCTGATCATAGTATTGTCGTTCCGTGCAGTGCAAAATAATTCAAGAATACCGGTATTCAAAAATAAATAAAAAAATAAAGTGCAATGAAAATAATAATGACAAAATAACCATTTCAAATTCATTTAAAATAACAGTAAATGTATCATATGGTATAGTAAATAAACGAAGTACCTGTCGTGGCATAAGAATATGTTCTCACATTTTTGACCAATAACAGCACATTTAGGTTTTATAACTGGTGTTAAGCACCATATTTATGACATGGCCGTATGACATAGTAAAATGGGTCAGTTGCAAAGAGTACATGATTATAATTATATGAATATGTCCGATGTTTAAAATCATCATTCAGAGCTCTTTTCTAAAAATGAAAATTCAACTGTAGCCGAGACACTGCCAGGCAAACAGTCACATGATCATCTAATACTTATTCTATAGACTGTAGGCTGTAGCTGTCCTTGAAAAAAAATATAAAAAAAAATCTTTTTTTAAAAATGCACGGGAGAGTCACATACTCTACTTAAAAGGTGATATTTCAAGGTGACATCTTGTTCATTCTTCTAGCTGGTAAATAGCAAGGCAGTAAAAAACTCGTCAAACTCACCAGGGTATGCTTTCTGTATACATGTATATAGTATCCTTTGAAACTCCCTCACCAGGATGTTGTAGTCTGTGTGGGAAGTCTGAAACTCCCTCACCAGGATGTTGTAGTCTGTGTGGGAAGTCTGAAGCTCCCTGGCCAGGATGTTGTAGTCTGTGTGGGAAGTCTGAAACTCCCTCACCAGGATGTTGTAGTCTGTGTGGGAAGTCTGAAACTCCCTCACCAGGATGTTGTAGTCTGTGTGGGAAGTCTGAAACTCCCTCACTAGGATGTTGTAGTCTGTGTGGGAAGTCTGAAGCTCCCTCGCCATCTTATATACTGTCCATTATGTAGGGAGGTTGTAGATCCTCGCCAGGGTATTATCTTCTATGCAGGGAGTCCGACGATCCTCACCAGGGTATTATCTCCTGTGTAGGAAGACTCTTCAGATTTTGAACAGTCATTTATTTACAGTATTTACTGTAATAAACATTATTTTTGTGAGCAGCTATTTTTTGTGTTTTCCAAGATGAAATTTAAATAGTCTAGTTGTTACAATCCAGTCACTACTCCTCCTTTCTCCCAAATTCTTTATACCCAGACAGTGTTTGGACAGATTTATCTCTTTCTGTTCAGAATTATCTCAGTAAGCCATGCAGGCCTTTTACAATCCAACAATATATATGACCTGACAACAAATTCTAAGATGGATCAGGATTATCAAGACTCCAATGTATCTTCAATCCAAAATTGTGGTTTACATTTTGGCTCAAAGAATTGTAATAACCTTGCAATTGGCTTTCTAGCATTATGGAGTAATAGATCTACTTTCATATCAGTTAAGGAGCCCCATACCACTTCCAGTCTCTGAGTGTAAATTACCAATGTGGCCAGACCAGGACTCGAACCCTAGATCTCAGATTGTAATATTGTCGCTCTAACTGACTGAGCTTCCTGGTCAACAGAAGTGTCCTGGCCCAACTGTGCTACATTCAGCTATCTCTAAAAATATATTAAGGGGAGGTTACTCTCTAGGCTAAATCCTTATAAGAAGTGCATTATTAAGACACTATGTGAGGAGTTTGAAAGTTTTTTGTTATTAAGGTTGTAATAAAGGGTTCTTAGAAACCTACTGAGACATTTCTGGTGATGTCAATGTAATATGTCACATTATGGATCAGTATCACTGTAGAAATGTATTCATTTAAACATATATTATTGTTTACAGAAGAAGAATACCCCGCAGACCCCACAGGTAAATCTGTGTACCAGGACCAGTGTCAGAGACAAGGTATGTCAATGCCACCTGGTGGTCATAAATAATGACATTACGTACCATCAAAGACTTTGAATAACGCACTGATGTAGTATTTAAATCCTCAATCCAATAACTACCTGGTACATATGTCCCATCATTTGAAATTTGACTTCAAATATATTTACACCTATAGATATCAACCAAAGAAATATAATATTCATTTGTTAAATCAGATATTTTATTGCATCTCATCAAGATTTTCTGAAAAAACATTTAGTCTTCTTCTAATTGATTGGATTGAGATAGGGGGTTTTGAGTGGGGGGAAGTGTTGCCATATTTTTATCTGCCAATGCCATTGAGCCATATTCTAGAGAAGAAAATTAAAGTTCACTTTAAACTTTATTGTGTGTATTTTTTACACTTTCTGAATTAAGTATCAAATATCAATAATGTTTGGTGTTTAAGGTGTAGTGCCAGTTTCCTTCCTGTTCCGTCACCTTGGCGACAGGAACCTGAGGATGAGACACCATTACCTAGGAGGTGAAGGAACCAAACCGGTGGCTGCAGCACTTCAGGTACGACTCTGATTGGCTGGTTATTGTAGACTCGGAACAGACAACATGGAGAATGTCTCTGTTCATCGAAATGTCATCAGATATCAATACAAAAATGGCTGTATTGCTTTTATTGCTTATTCAAAAAAAAAATTGTGGCTTATTTATGGCAAAGTGAACAAAGTTCAAATTGATTTGGCTTCTTCCATGTAAGTTGTCCATTGACATCTGGTCACAATACTGTGAGCATCAGTAACAGACAAATTGTGGATGTTTTATTGTGTTAAATCATATTTAATAGTGATACTTACAGTGAAAAATGTTGACAAATTTCAACTGTATATGCACATTGAACCATTATTTTCCTGGTATTTATGTCTTTCTTTTATGCAAGGACAAATATAGGCTTTGGGTGTTCTTTTGGAGTTAAACATTTTGATATTATTCCCAATAATGTTACAGAAATTTATCAACATAACAACAACAACAAATGATTATGGCCAGTAGCATAGTGGATAATCTCCCTGTTTTATTTAATATAATCAAGATATATGATCTTGGGATTAATTGAATCCCCTGGCTTGTGAAAAAGGATATCATAAAAGATATATTTCTTCATGTTTAAATCTTTGGTATAGAAAAGGAGCAAGCAAATCAAAGTCAGAACAATGACAAACAAATTGGAACTCTCCTTTGTTGGAGATACATCATAGAGCTCTCAAGGATTCTGTACCTTAACAGTCAGTGATTCCAATTAGAAAGGCTTTATGTAGCATGCTTATCTAGCTTAGCTGTAAAACAGTCATGTGATTCGGATCAGAAAAGCTTTATTCTAGCTCGCTAACCTAACTTCACTGGTAAATAGTCGTGTGATTTGGATCCAAAAGGCTTAATTTGCTCTTATCTTATTTATCTAACTTAGCGTCAAATGCATGAGAAAACAAAGGAAATTGGTCTGGAGTTTCTACAGCAACAGGACATAACATCTAGGTTATGAAAGTAAAACTGATTCCTGACTATCTATGTGGGTGTAGGGATCTATACAAGCCCAATCAATACCTTGATCTTTGGTAGATTGGTGGGTTTCAATCTGTGTCTGTGATGTATGCAGCTTGTGCCGAATAGCATTGTCCACCTCAGTTGAAATGTCTTTCATTTAAATATAACTGTAAATTACATATTTTTCTCTCATTTATTTGGATCCGGCAGATTAAGAATTCTTCTTAAAATGATCATTAAAGCTCCCCCCCCAAAAAAAATATCATACAAAATTACAAAGTTCATTCAGGAAAATATATAAAAGTACATGTATGTGTGGTTGACATAGAAACAAATAATACAATGAAACCTGTCTAATCTGACCCCTGGGTATTCTAAGATTCTATCATGTCCAGCTTAAATCTGTCATCCAATTCCTTGTTAAAACTATTAATTAAAACCAGTGTGATATGATACCTCAGTGTTTCATCAAGCCGATCTGTTTGATCTGACAGGGTGTTGGATGAGACAAGTTGGATTACACAGGGTGTCAGATTTGACAGGTTTTACTGTATATGATTTCTTGAATTCAACAGGGTGTTGGATGAGACAAGTTGGAATATACAGGGTGTCAGGTTATACATGTTTCACTTTATATGATTTGTTGGATTCCAAAAGGTTCCACATTAGACAGCTTCTGCTATCTATGATTTGTTGGATTCCAAAAAAAATGGATAACACAGTTTTTAGCTCACCTGGCCCAAAAGACCTAGGGTGATGATATTTGGCCAGAAGCATATTGGGATGAAAAGCTACCAAGTTTGTTCAAATGAATGACCTTCACCCATATTTCAAGGTCACATGGGTCAAATATGTTATAACCAAAAGAACCAGGGCAATGATAGTTTGCCAGTAGCATGCTGGGAAGAAGTGCTATCAATTTTGTTAAAATGGATGACCTTTGCCCATATTCAAGGTCACAGGGGTCAATGCTCTTATAAATCCTTAAAACAACTTCTTCTGAATAACTAAAAGGACTAGATTGATGACCTTTGGCAAGTACCATGCTTGGATGAAAGGCTATCAACTTTGTTCAAATGAATAACCTTCACCTATATTCAAGGTCACAGGGGTCAAATATGTTGAAATATTTAATCAACTTCTTTTGAATAACCAAAAGGCCTAGGGTGATGATATTTGGCCAGAAGCATACTGGTATATCACCCATATTCAAGGTCACAGGGGTCAAATATGTCAAAAAAATCTCCTAAATAAAAAATGACTAGGAGAATAATATTTAGCAAGTAGCATGCTTGAATGAAAGGTTTTAAAGGATTGTTCGAAAGAATGAACTTGAGTTATATTCAAGGTCGCAGGGGTCAAATACATGTAAGTTAAAAATTTAAATGACTTCTTTTGAATAACCACATTGAAGGGAGAGTGAAATGTGACCACTAGCATGCTTAAATGAAGATGAGAAATGAGATTTATACAAGGTGAGCGGTGAAGGCCCATTGTGCCTCTTGTTATTGTTTATGATTTGCTGGATTCCACAGGGTGTTTGGTTAGTCAGCTTCCAGAATGAGTTAGGAAAAATCAAAAACCTTTTTGTTACAGTTCAATACAGTGACTGAAGCACTTGACCTCGGTGACAACTACCTTCAGGCTGAAGGGGCCATGTACCTGGCTAGGATGATGAGGGACAACACGTTTATAGTTTACCTGGTAAGTAATTACACCTACAGTCTGAGGGAGCCATGTACCTGGCTAGGATGATGAGGGACAGCATGTTTATAGTTTACCTGGTAAGTTATTACTCAACTCTTGCTGTCTGTGATGGTGATGTTCCTTGTTTGATAATGAGAAAAAGTAACTAACTTTTAGTTTTATGTAGTTGACATTTTCTTCAAGTATAAACTTCTTTGATTGTTAAAACTTTTGAGTTATAACTACAGTAAATACAATATACAATTACACATCATTTGCCAGTTTGTTTTACAATACTACTGGACTTTCATTTAATTTGTTTCTCTCCCTAGGATATTTCAAACAATTTTATTAAATCGTCTGGTGCTGAAGCCATAGCAGAGATGTTAGAAGTCAACACAACCCTCAAGACAATATGTCTCGCAGGTAAGTTACCTACCTTTTCAAGTAAATTACTTACCTTTTCAGGTAAATTACATGCCTGCCAAGGTAGTTTACCTGCCTTCCCAGGTAAATTACTTTACCGTCTCAGACCTACTTTCTGAGGTAAAATACCAACCTTCTCCAATGCAATGTAGTATTTTTCCTCATTTTCCTATTGTCTCAAATAAATTATTTTTACCCAAAATTGAAAACAGACATTACAGTGTAATGCTTTTGGAGGTAAAATAGTCTTTCATTTGGTAAAATTACGGTTATGGATAAAGTATAGTCTAAAGTACATTTTCAGGCAAAATAACTTTTCTGTGTCAAATTCTAAGATAAAATATTTAGACTCCAGGTGATATACAGGTGGGCGGAGATCCAACGTCCAGTCAACGGTAGTTTCCATAAAGATCAGCAAAGTTCAGCATATCCCAGTTGACGGATTCTTTGAATAGAATTTACTAGTCCGGCCATAGAAGTATTTTATCACTAATGAGAAGAGATGACAACATCAACTGGGATATCAGCAAGTTTAGTCCAGTGTTTATATGTTTCGTCCCACTAGGTGGGCCGTCATCAGAACAACATGCGATTTTCAAAACATCCCTAAGGTACAAAATATGGTGCCCTGCTTAGTTACAACCAATAACAACTTGGGTGTATATAGTGACGTCTACAATAGTGCAATAGATTAATGACGTCATCGTATATTTACTACTTTTCGGCATGTCCATTGTTTGCGTGGGAAATAGTGGGCCGAAACATGTAAACACTGGATAAAACTTGCTGGTATCCCAATTAAATGTTGTCATGGTTGTCTCTACTCATTACCACGGTGATATAGTCAATATGTAGGGTACCATGTAAACCAATAACAGCGTTAGTTTGAATGTCTTAAAAGCTTTATAATTAAATCTTATTTATCACATCATTTTTGGAGCATTCATGTCTTCTTCCTTGAAATGAAATGAACTTTATTTATTTTACAACAATTAATATGAAACAAATTATTTCAACTTACATGTATATCAATCACTCTTGTTGGCCCGAATGTTAGCATATGCAAGGCTTTTAATGTGGGAGGAAACAGGAGAAACCGGAGTACACCCATGTGGTTGGGCAGGTGACCCCATGATCTGGGAATCAACCCC